CTGGAACTCGGCGAGTACAGCTAGGAGATCGGACTTGAGAAGGCGAGAGACGTGGGATTGGATGAAGCGGTCGAGGCGCAGGGGATGGGGTTGGAGCCGTTTCAGTTCCTTAGCGGCGAACAGCCCCTCTTTGCCCAGCTCTTTCTTACGCCTCCATTTCGACAAGCTCGGTCTCGTCCTGGGAGCTAAATTCGAGAAGTGGTTTTCCCTCTGTACAGCGCAAGCGTTAGCAGGCGGCGAGACGCGGCGGGAAAGCGAGGACGGCAAGGGCTTGCGGGACAGAAGAGCAAATTTGGAGATCAGGCGCGACATTCCTCCCTCTTGGGCATTTCTTCGAACACCTTCTCTGCGAGCGACACTTTACAGAGCAGGCGCAAAAATAAATTTGGGTTCCTACTGTGTGGGCTTGGAAATAAGCTGGCCTTTTCAAGGTTCACGGTTTCCGGTCAGGTTTACAAGCATTTTTGGGCCCATGAAATCTAACGACTACACAGTCCTGGAAAGCTATTGGACCTAGATGGAATTGGGTTCGATCGGAAAAAATTGGGTACTGTCTATTTTTAATCAAATATTTTTTAGATTTTTTTATAATATTTAAATCTAGTAAAATTCTATTAATTAGCCAAATCTTTCATAATGCATCAAAATACTAGCCATTTTTACATTATAGTTAATAATTTTATAACTCTTTTCTTAGTTAAAAATACTAAAATTATGGAATGTTGACCTTAATGTGTCTCTTCCAAGTCAGTATCATGTTGCCAAGTCAATACTACTAACAAAATTGCTAATTGGAAGTTAATAGTTGGCTAATTCTTAGTATTTTGATAGGTTTGGATAATATAAAAAAATCTGAAAAAAGTTTGAATAAAAAATAGAAATTACCCAAATATTAGTTATTTTTACGTTGTCGTTAATAATTTTGTAACTCTTTTCTTAGTTAAAATACTAAAATTTTGTAATGTTGACATTCATGTGTCTCTTCCAAGTCAGTATCATATTCCAAGTCAATATTACTAACAAAATTGCTAATTGGAAGTCAACATTTGGCTAATTCTTAATATTTCGATAGGTTTGAATAATATAAAAGAATCTAAAAAAAATTGGATAAAAAATAAACAAAGAAGGTGGAATTTAAAATATCAATTTTCCTCTTCCTTTATCAGATGGAAGAGCAAAACGATGGAAAGGAAGAAGAAAGGGAGGCTAAGCGGGATAGAATTGGTTGAGGGAAAAAAAAAAGTCGGATGGATGTCTAATTACAATTTCTATGTCTGTGAGATTTGACCCAAATTATCAAGCCTCAATTTTCATGTTGCTTTTGTCTTGCGAAGCATAATTTGTTTTTTACCAAATTATCACAGTTCGTGAGATTTTAAACTCAATTCTCACACAAAAATTCCACATCCAAACTTTTTGGGTAATGTCTATTTTTTATCCAAACTTTTTCAGATTCTTTTATATTATCCAAATTTATCGAAAATTCGAAATACTAAGAATTAGCCAACTATTAACTTCGAATTAGCAATTTTGTTAGTAGTATTGACTTGGCAACATGATACTGACTTGGAAGAGACACATTAAGGTCAACATTCCATAATTTAGTATTTTTAACTAAGAAAAGAGGTATAAAATTATTAACTATAATGTAAAAATGGCTAGTATTTTGATGCATTATGAAAGATTTGGCTAATTAATAAAATTTTAACAGATTTTGATAATATAAAAGAATCTGAAAAAGATTTAGTTAAAAAATAGACATTACCCCTAATATTTTGATGGAATACGAAAGATTTGTCTAATTAATAGCATTTTAATAGGTTTTGGTAATATAAAGGGTTAATATTTTTGTATGGCCTGAACTTTGACCAAAATAAACATCCTGGACAATCTTTTCGATCTATAAAATCCTGGCTCGAACTATACATAAAAAAAAACAATTTGGCTAGATCCGACTTTTGACAGTTAACTTGGACGGTCAACGCGCCATGTAACTGCCAACTCAGCAAGTTTCAATTATTTTTTTTAATTTACACCTATTTCCATTTTCTTTCCTTTATCATTTTGAACGAGAAAAAAAAAACAAATTTTCAATTTCGGGGATTCTAACCAACGGCTCGGAATTTACAGCGGCGATCCGCTTCCTAGCGGGCAATGCAGTCAAAAGCGCGATTCTACCTAGAAGCGGAAAAGGGGTAAAATCGTAAAGCTTAGAATCAAAGCGTAAAAGCGTAAGTTTTTTACGCATACTGAAAAATAACTAAAAATCTATTAAGTAGGACATATGCTATGCAAAATATGAATACACATAATTTAGATAAGTTCATAAATACATGCGATTCATGTTTAAAGTAGAGCAACTTATAGCATCTTAATAATAAGTTCGTAAACATAAATTTTAACGATAAGCCACTTTTCCCTCTATGCTAATGAATTTGGGAAAACCATATCTGGTGAATTAGATTACTCTATTGAAGTTGAGAATGCATCCAAGTACCTAGTATGTATTTTTTTAATCTCAAATGTATCATATTGTTAGTGATTTACTTTAAAAATATACTTTTATAATTAATTTCATGAAAAGAATACTCATTTAGTGAACTAAAAACGTAAAAACGTAAAACGTTTTTGGTGAACTAAATCCGTAAAACCGTAAGTTTTTAAGCTTTAAAGCGCAATTTAGTCCGATTTTATATACTTAAGTTTTTATATGGAAACAAAAGCGTTTTGGGGACCCAAAAGCGTAAAATCGTAAGTTTTTAAGTTTTAAAGCGCGATTTTGACTGCATTGCTAGCGGGAGATACCTCGTCGCCACCCTCGGACTCTTTCGTCGCTGTTGGTCACGGCGGCGACTCTAGCACCTCCGCCGTCATCGCCATTTACTCCACCCCTACGACGTCGTTTCTTCTTCCTCAGCGTTAGGCTCACCAAGCTCTGCATGTTACTGTTCTGTTTCTCCTTCTCTTTCTCCCCGACTTTTTGTTGCTGGCTCGTGGAACGACCGATCCTCCCCGGAATCGTAGCAGTCGCTAGTAGATTTTTTGGCCGACCGTCTCCCTTTCCTAGATCTGCCTCCTCCTTCACGCACCTCCCCCTCGCCATGTCCCGAAAATGAAAATTTGTTTTTTTTTCCGTTCAAAATGATAAAGGAAAGAAAAGGAAATATGTGTAAATTAAAAAAAAAATTTGATTGAAACTTGCTGAGTTGCCAATGACATGGCGCGTTGACCGTTAGTCAACGCGTTTGACCGTCCAAGTTAACGGACAAAAGTCGGATATGACCAAATTGTTTATTTTGATGTATAGTTCGGGCCAGGATGTTATAGATCGAAAAGATTGGCCAGAATGTTTATTTTGGTCAAAGTTCAGGCCATACAAAAATATTAACCCTAATATAAAAGAATCTGAAAAAGGTTTGGATAAAAAATAGACATTACCCTTCTTAAAATCCTAAACGTGGAATTTTAGCCAATTTTCACTTGACAATTGTCGGAGTTTCTATAACATGGTAATTAAGGTTAATTCCCACGTTTTCATATTTTCACAGCCAAACGAGGTGTGTACGTGGGTCACATGGTTTGATTTCGAACTATTTGAGTCACCCTAGTCATTATTTTAATTTCAATGATTCAGAATTCTTTTCCTAGGAAAATGATTTTTTGAAACTCTAGATCACCCAATAATATTAAGGTCCTACGACTTATTTTGTTGATTGAGTTGATTCGAGCCGACTACGCATTTTGCTGGGAATAATTACAAAAAAAATCAAACTTCAAATTCCCATCACAAACAAATTCAAACTTTGAGTATATAGAATAATTTTGTTTATTCATAAAAAAAAATTTGTTTAACAATCGATCATCCTAATAATAAACGAGCTCAGTTCTATCACATATTTCTTTTGTCAATATTCCTACATCTTTAATGTTCCTCGATGCTTAATATTCGTGATGACCTCAATTCGCTTCGGATGTATTGTTATGCATGTCTTTATTATTGGCTAATTATCATAAATTCCATTACCTCAAGCTTAATATCGCTTCAAATATTCACTTTCATATGTATTTACCTCGTAAGCATAATCATCATAAATCCGCTCTCGCGTCAAGATTTCTTGAGGAGAAAAAAAAAACAAATAGAGACAAAATGAAGAGATGAAACTGGAGTTGTACAAAAAGAGGCATCTCACAACCAACCAGACTGAATTCTGTACTCACCATCCTACTGGATTCCAATTATTGACTTCTCCATGGCAGGTTGCAAATAAATAAAGGTCAAACAGTAGCATCAGTACTCTTCAAATAGATACAGAAGGGAAAAATGCAATCAATAGCAAAGTAAATTCAGTACCAGCCAAAACCCAAGTTCAATCTTCACTTGCCACTTCACTTTGATGGCTCTCCATTCCCTAAAATCATTGAGTTTCTTCTGACAGTTGCAGGATTGCAGTAGTAACAGGAGCAAACAAGGGAATTGGGTTGGAGATAGTGAAGCAATTGGCTGGCCATGGGGTTACAGCTGTGCTCACAGCCAGAGATGTAAAGCGAAGGACCGAAGCAGCTTCAATCCTTGGCCTTCCCAATGTCATCTTCCATCAGCTTGATGTCCTTGACTCCCTCAGCATTCACAGGTTGGCCGATTTCATCACCAGAAAGTTTGGGAAACTTGACATCCTGGTGAGAAGTGTTCAATGCTTGTTTTCTTCTTCTGCACTCTCCATTTGTGGAATTCGTAGTCTGAAGGCTAATGTTTCTGGCACAGGTGAACAATGCTGGAACTTCTGAAGTTGAAGTGGACAAGGAACGCGTCAAGAGCCTGAAAATCGACGCATAAACTTGGGTGAGTTTGTGAAGTTGCTCAAAAAAAAATCATCATTTGATTCACCTCATGTGTTTTAACACCATAATATATGGCAGCTTTCAGGAAAGGCTACTCATTTGGTTGAGGATGCAGTGAAGCATACCTATGAGAAGGCAGAGGAATGCTTGAACACCAACTTCTATGGCGTCAAGGCAACAACTGAGGTTCTCCTCCCACTCCTCAAGCTCTCCACTTGTGGTGCCAGGATAGTTAACATCTCCTCCCTCCGAGGGGAGCTACGAAGGATCCCTAGCGAGGACGTGAGGAACCAACTTGGAGATGTTGAGACACTGAATGAGAACAAGATGGATGATATGGTGAAGAGGTTTCTGCAAGATTGCAAAGATGACAACCTCGAGGCTGGCGGAACGTGCCATCGATGCTGCCAGCATACAGCATCTCCAAGGCTGCTGTGAATGCCTACACGAGAATCCTTGCAAAGAGGCATCCTGAGATGAAGATAAACTGTGTTCATCCTGGATTCGTGAACACGGATTTGAACTACCATACGGGGACCATGACAGTGGAAGATGGGGCTAGAGGTCCTGTCCAGTGTGCTCTTTTACCTGAGGATGGTCCTTCTGGCTGCTATTTTGATCAAACTCAACTTGCTGGCTTCTGAATGCAGTATTGTTGAGCTCATTTAACTGGCAACCATGGAGGAAAAACCTTGAAACAAGCAATTAGTAGAGAAACCTTCAAACATGTCAACCTAAAGCTTCTTTTGGAGATCTTTAATCTTTATGCTAGCACCTGCAAAAGCTAGGAGAATCATTAGTTAAAAAAAAACCCAACAGGTTTATGATACACAGGTATAGGTGTCAAAACATAGCCAGACCCGATTAACCCGCCCGATCAACCCGACCCGCTACCCGACCGCAACCCGAGTTGACTAAAAGTCAACAACCCGTAACCCGCCCGACCCGTAACCCGATTGACCCGCAACCCAACTAACCCGCAACCCGACTAACCCGCAACCCGACTAACCCGAACCCGATTGACCCGCAACCCGACTGACCCACAACCCGATAAACCGGAACCCGATTGACCCGAACCCGACTAACCCGTAACCCGACCGACTCAACCCGAATTTCATCTAATCCACTTGAATAATTAGAAAAATATACAATACATAGTATTTTAAAAATATGAAACTCACTTGATATTATGTATTTTAAGAAAATTACAAAAATTGAAACATGAAGGTCACTTGAGATCATGACAATATTAATATAATATATAAATTAAAATTTTTGTTAATTTAACTATTCAATAAAATTATCAATTAAATAAAGTAAAGTAATGTATTTGGTAATTTGATGTTTTTAAAAGAAGAGGAAAATTTTGGTGTATTCAAGTTTTTGGGAAGAGAAAGAAGAGGGAAATTCGGTTCTTTGAATTTTTTAGAAAAGAAACAAGTGGAAATTTTGGTGGTTTTGATATGTGGAAAGAGAAAGAAGTGGAAAAGTTTGATTCTTTTGATTATGAAAGAGAAATAAGGAGGGAAACTTTTGACTTTTCAACTTTTTGTAGAAGGAAAGAAGAGGATAATTTGGTTTTTCAATTTTATGGAAGAGAAAGAGGAGGGAAAATTGAGTTTTCCTAATGTATGGAAGGAGAAAGAAGGAGGAAAATTTTAGTATTTTTGTGAAAAGAAAGAAGGAAACAAATTTGGTGTTTTCAATTTTTTTGTTTTTCATAATTTTAGCTTTTGAAATATGAATCTTTAATTTTTATATGGAGGGCATGACTAGTTAAATTATTCTTATATGCTTTGAAGGCTAATATGTATATATGTATGTAATTTTGTATGGGCTAATAAATAAATTAACCATGAGTTACAACAATTTATACTAAACTTTATAAATAATCTTTGACGGTTCGTTGTTTAGGATATAAAGTATATGGTTAGGGTATAAGGTACATATGGTTTAGGGTGTATATGGTTAGGGTATAAGATATTGATGGTTTTGATGGTTCTAATTTTTTTATTAACATATGTTCACTTGAAGTCATTTGAAGTCTTTAACGGCAGGAGATCCCTTTTTAATTTATGTTTATAGTACGTGGTTAGGGTACAAAGTATGTGGTGTAAAGTATAGGATATATGGTTAGGGTATAACAATTAGCAAATATTACTTTTTATTTATGTTTTGAAAATCAAAGTATGAATTCCACTTTTAAATTAACTATACTAGCAAAAGGGAAAGTAGAAGAAAGACGTAGAGAAGGGTTTTTGTCGGTAGGATTTGAGGAAGATTCAGAGAAGAACAAGATGCAGTCGGGATGGAGAGAGAGGAAGGAGTGAGCGGTGGAACAGAAGGTAGAAAGAGGGAAGAGGGTTAATTTTGGTGGAACAAAAAAGTGGCGGTCAGAACCAAAATTTTGGAGCCAAAAACAATTGGGAGTGGCGGGTTAATTTTGGTGTTGTTCTCGATTAAAGCAAATTTTTTGGAGTCAAAAGAATTTTTGGAGGCAAAGCAATTTTTTGGATAAAACAAATTCTCCCTTATTTTTTAAAGATAAAGATATTGTTTGGTAATAAATGCATTTCATAAGTTATAGAAAATTCATTTTGAAATTAAATATTTTTGTGTTCAGTATTTATAATAATTAATTTTCAATTCAAACTTTTGAATTCTACAAAATTAAAAGTAGTTATATCAATTTCGAGTAATTGAGATGAAATTTTCAAATGAATTTCACAAGGATTTACTAATTATAATAGAATGACATAATTATCCCCATTTAATAGCTAAATTACTTCTACATAAATTATTTGACGCCAATTAATACCGTAAGATGAACGTCGATAAGAATTTGATTGCATCGCTAGTAGCATATACTGGTTATTTGATATTTATGCTTTGATAGTATCATTATGTTGAGAAGTCACAACTAGATTGCATGGTTCATCGACGAAATATTAGAAAAGAACTAATTAATAGAATACAAACACACAAGAACACTTGTGATATTCTACGTATGGGACAAGAGACGCTTTTTAGAAGATCGGTTTTCATTGAATACTTTTTCGGCCATAAGTTAATAAGGGTGTAGTTGAAAACTTTTAACTGTATTCAATTCTTAACGTATGCTAAACATGGTTTGAGAATTCAAATAATTTTATTTCTATAGATTTGAATTTGGCGTACCAAACATAAGAATTCATTTGACAATGAATTCTCGATTCATTTGGTACCAAATGGTCAAGTGTCGCATTATTCAAGGGAATTAACCGTGACTAACAATTAATCACGGTAAATGAAGAATACATAACAGTTAAATTAATTACCGTTATTAGAACTATAAAATCAAATACGAGAATTTTTTACCGTGACTATTAACATACTTTTTAGTACGGGAATAATTACCGTGAATAAGTTACCGTGACTAGAAACCAATTTTCCTATAGTGCAAGGACATATGGTTAGGGTATAAGTTATGTGGTTAGTGTATAATGTATTGATGGTTTAGGGTATACAATCAACAACATATACTAACTTAATATTGTTGATTGAGGGTAAAGCTAAGTGTATAGGATATATGCTATTGAGTAAGTTATGATTGAAGTCACAATAATTTTACTAAATTTGATAGCTAATCTTTAATGGTTCAATTTTTAGGATAATTCGAACAATTTTACAAATAACTCGTTTGGCAACAGTTTACTAAAGTTATTTGGGCAATGAGTTATTTTGAAATAACTCCTTTTATCACTATGCTTTTGCCAAATACCACACGCCAAATACCAGATTTGCATGGTTATACTAAACGAGACACTTTAATCCAATTACTACTGAATTAATACTAAAATATCAAATAAACAATTAACGGTGTCTTTTGGTTGCATATATTGATATCACCATTACTATTAGCTATAATACTTTACCAATTATGATTAATTACATAACAAGTTTGCAAGTCATACAAATTGATTTAACATTTTGACTAGTTTTTTTCAAAAAAATAAAGTGTATATATATATATACGAGGTAGAAATAAATTGGTTAAAAAGTTGAGAAAATATTTTAAATTAGTGTAATAAAATGTGTAAGTTGGTAATGAGTAAGAGTTAATTTACTTGATGCGCTGGCCAGAACAACCCGAAACCCGACCCGACCCAAAACTCGATGAACACCTATATACACGGGGGAGGAAGGAAAAAAAATTTGGACCATTTCTCGATTTATGCGTGTCATCCTTATGCAGGGGCCATGCTAATCTTCTCTGAAATGTTCCAATTTTATCGGATGTCCCTGAAGGGACAACAGCTTTGGTTTTGCAGGGATTAATAAAGGCTTTATTCTCACCAAAACAACCGATGTGGTAATTCTTATTGTCGCATGAACCCAATGGTTTATGACTTCTTAAACTCATATAAACTAACTAAGCAGAACCTTTATCAAATTATTCAAAGGCATGTATTATCATTAAGTACCTAGATTAAATACAAAGTACTCGTATTCATTTACTTATACCAAGGGAAAAGGGCATGTCATAGCTCTGTTCCTTAAGTTAAAAAGGCCGATTCTCGAAGGTCCTTTCCTTTTCTCCCATTCTGCAACTTCTGGCCTGTAAGCAAAGGGATTGTCAACAAAGTAAACAAGCAAAGAAGACAGTCCTATTAAGCAGGGACAACATCTGTAAGTAAAGTGCAAGCACACTGATGAAAATTTGTTTAAGCAAAACGATTAAGGTAATCATGGCAGAATCAACAAAAGATGGCTTCTGTTCTCCGTAAAGTACCTGTGGAACTCTCGAAACACAGCATAAGTTATAACGAAGACCGGCAGTTAGGAAACCTTGAGATGAACTACTTGCTTGGTTGTCCATATGGAGTGGAAAAATGAACCCAGTACATGATGTAAAGAGTCTTGCAGTAAGACTAACGGTCACAATACACCTCCTAGTCACAGTTTGGTTAGGGAAGGGGAATGAAAATGAGGCACTGCCAAGGAGCAAGGATAGCCATTCCCTCCAGTAATATAAGGCGTTCTCCATTAGTTACCTCTACAAGATGAACAGTGTTACTGAACTGCTTAGCTGATTAAGAGAAGACTACTAGTGTTTTATCTCCAGGTATGGATGAACATGGCGAAAGCGAAGGAGAACTACCAAGAAAACCATATACTAGCTTCGTATGTAATGTACTGAACCAAACAGTTCCATTAATCGAAAAGGGTCTCTACTCTCCAGCTATTAACTCCACAGGTAATTAGATACATTGAATAGTTTAATCTTCTGAGCAAATTAAGAGACTACTACCAATGTGTTTTATTTCCAGGTTTGGATTGAACATGGCAAAAAAAAAAAAGGAACACCACAAAGAACACCATATACTAGCTTCTTATGTAATGTATTAAACCAAGCAGTTTCAATAATCGAAAAGGATCTCCGCTCTCATGTTGTTAAAACTCTACAGGTGATTAGATACATTGAATAGTTGAATCCAATAGAAGCCTAACAGTTTGATTCAGGCACCAACTCAGAATATTACTCCAAAAGAACAAAACAAAGGATGAAAAGAACAATATAACCGATAGAGATCGGAAGGATAAAAAAAAAAAAAAATTGGACCATTTCTCGATTTATGCGTGTCATCCTTGCGCAGGGGCCATGCTAATCTTATCTGTATCGTTCCAATTTTATCAGATGTCCCCGAAGGGAGAGTAGGTTGTGTCTGTACAAGACTTTATAAATGCTGGACTACTGCTGAAGACAGGTGATGTGGTACATTGAAAAACAGAATGGAGTCTTAATGAGGATAGTACCTCCAGTTTACTTTGGCATGCCCAACTCTCCGGTACTCCCATGTTGTAAAGTCAAAATACAAAGTCATTTACTTTAGGGTATCCCAAAAGGAAAGGGCATATATACCTTTAGTGTGTTACTTAAGATGATAAACGTCATATGTTCAGACCAAGGTACTTCCCCAACTGGATTTTGAAGCTTCTGACTGTGAACAAAAGGAGATCATAAATCGACAGCCAGATAAATCAAAAGTCTAACACATGTGTAAAGAGTAAAGACACTGCAATGTAGAAACATATTTTGGCACCCTCGCGTACGGCCAAAGACTCAAGCCATGGGTTTTATACGCAGCAAGAACTGAAGACTAGTTTAAAATGAACTGGGATATGAAGCAATTGTTGATGAATGTCTCTTTCGAATCCTTTTAAAAATGAATAAAAATGAAAACGCTTTCTAAGGGACGTGTGTAGCATAAGCACAAGTAAGCAAGCAATTGAATCAATGTCACCACCTTCCCATCTTTTCTCTCTGCTCTCTATCAAGCTGGCAAAAAAATCGAGAATGGCTTCTTCTTTAATTACTGAACCAACTGCTTTCATCCGTTTTCCAGTCGTGAAATTTAACAGAGCTATTGGATTAACTGAACGTAGTAGAAGGGTAGGAACTTAATAATTGACAAAAGTAGTGATCCACATGTAGACAGCTCTCGACTCTAAGAATCATGCAAACATGATAAGCGAAACCGGGTTGACAAATTAATGAACATGAGCTAGTTATGGAATCTGAAAACCTCCATAAATTAGCCCAACATTTAAAGGAGCCTAAGTCATTGAGAGACAGAACATGATCTACACTCCAGAATCCCCCTGCTTTGTATTGTTACTTGTAAGATTTCAATAGGGAAACACACTAGTTGCACATGTGTAGACTTGGCTAACAGACTGATATAGCCTCAGCAGATAGTTCAGAACCCTCGACATTTTTGAGCTCTACATATGAACAGTATTACTGAACTGCTCAGTAGATTATGAGACTACAACTAATGTTTTATCTCCTGGTTTGGATGAACATGGTGAAAGAAAAAAGAACACTACAAAGGGAAACCATATGCTAGCTTCAAATCTAATTTACTGAACCAAGTAGTTTCAGTCATTGAAAATGAACTCCATTTTATTTTTTGCAAAGGTGAAATAATTTTATTAATTAAGAAAAAAAAAACAAAGAACCACTTCTGTTACAATGCTTACACTCCAGTTGTTAGCTCCACAGGTGATTAGATTTATTGAATAGCTGAATCCAACAGAGGTCTAGAAGTTTGATTTTGGCAAAAATTCAGAGCATAACTTCAAATGTCCATAACAAGCACACAAAAAAACAATGTAAAGGCCAAAGATCGGGAGGATGCAAAAAAAAAAATTTTGGACCATTTCTCGATTTATGCGTGTCATCGTCATCCTTGCGCAGGGGCCATGCTAATCTCCTCTGTATCGTTCCAATTTTATCGGATGTCCCCGAAGGGACAGTAGTGTTAGTTTCACATCGCATTATAAATGCTAGGTTCCTACTGAAGACAAGTGATGTGGTACATTGTGAAAAGGAAGAAGGCTTCTATGACTCTATGCTCCCTCCCTCCTAGTAAATCTTAATAAGGATAGTTCAAACATGAAAAAGGAACTGCTAAAAAGCAAGTCTAATTAACAAACTAAATGCAGCAGAAGAACCAGAATGCCCAACTCTCCAGTACTTCCCAAGTCGTAAAGCCAAAAGAACCCACTATTACTTTATGGTAAACGCAAGAAGGAAAGGGCATACCTTCAGCGCTGTTACTTACGAGGACAACCCATAGTTTCAGAACCAGGTCCTTCCCCAACTAGATGTTGCAAGCTTCTGAATCTGAACAAAAGAAGATCATCAAAACAAGAAATGTGTAAAAGGAGAGTCTCAAACTTGCGTAAAGACCTTGAATTGCATTTTTCAGCACCTTCCATGTCTGGTCCAAAGAATAAAGCCATAGAGTTTCAGCAACGAGAATGGGAGAGTAGTTGCAATGATTCGAGATATCCAGGAAACGGTTGATGAAGGTTAAGTTTGGTTGACCAATCAATTTCCAAGGAACAGATGCATATCATAAGCACAAGTAAGCGACCAATCGAACCAACCTGGACATATTAGCATCTTTTTTCTCCCTTGTCTCTATCAAGCAGGCAAAATCATGAATAGAGAACATATGGCTTCTTCTCTAATTTACCGAACCAACTGCTTTCAGCCATTCTCCAGTTGCGAATTTCCACAGGATGAGCAGACCTATTTGGCTAATTGAAATCTAGTAGAAGGGTAGGAACTTGATAATTGACTTTAAGTCTTTAACACAAGCAATGCTCCACATGGAGACACAGGTACTGAACAATTGAACTACTTCAGCAGATTACAAGAGCATGACTAACTGAACTGATCACTTCCAGTAACTAAGATTATCTCCAGTTGTTAACTGCAAGATGAATAGAGTTTATTGAATAACTTGCTCCAGTAGAAGTATAGCAACTAGATAATGCCTGCTGCTAAATCTAAGCAGCACTACCATTTCAAACACAAATTACAAACTGGCTGCTGTGGGAGGATGCAGAAATACAAGGAGGGCAAAAGATTCTCGATTCATGCGTGTCATCCTTCCTTGCGCAGGGTCATGCTAATCTTCTATGTATCGAGTATCGTTCCAATATCATGTGATGTCACCGAAGAGACAACACCTTCTCTTTGCCGCACAGAAAATCGATGCCCTCGACAAGTGATGCGGGAAATCTCCACTACCACGAGGTTGTAACTTTAGGACTCATTCTATTCCTATATCCCCCACTTAAACATTGTTTAAGCAACACCAATAAACTAATCATCGGACAGGCCACCCTTAACCCTACTGTAATTGAAATATATAGAGCCAAAGCATATATATATCCAGTAGAAAAAGGAACAAACCTCGCAGAGGGACTGAACTGTACAACTCCATGATGGCCTTCCCATTCAGATTAGACAGGGGGATTTCTGGAACTTGTAACTACAAAAATATAGGTGTCCAGTGAGCAACAGTAAATCAATGAATCAAGATAAGAAGAAAACACATTACAATGCCAACGATCACTTCATTTCTCAAGCAGTGACACTCTTCGATTACCAACTTATTTCTATACTTTAGGGAAAATGCCAAACTGGGTCGCTGCTCTATCTTGCATCAGAAGGCGATTGCTTGTTTGGGCAACAAGTTGGGTTGAACAAAAAAAAAAACCCAGGCAAACTTTCTACCAGCATAGTGGAAAAAACACTCTGGTAGCCAAAACGCATTTCGTACCCGTTCATTAGACAACATTGAAAGAAGAAGGAAGCAGAAAGGACCCAGAATTGGTTGCGCGTCGATCGGTCGTCGCCTTCTTCCAGGCTCCAACTTGAAGTTTTACCACGACTGATGTTTGCCGCCCACCAGAAGGCCAAAAGTTTACCGGCTCGACATTGAACGCTGTCATTTCTAGACGAAGACATCACTTCACAGACACAGTCTTTGTTCTAGACTGGGCTGATAGGCAGGACTTGCACATCCTGTCCCGCGTAGCCCATTGTCATTCCGTTTCGGATTGGGCTGAAAACCACAGTTTATGTTGAAGAAAGACGATTAAATTACTGATTGGTTTTGGTATGTCATATAGTGATGGCAATTTCAACCCGCCCGCGAGTATTACCCGACATGATCCGCGATGGGGCGGGTATTACCCGACCCGCAGTAGCGTGGGGCGGGGCATGAGTATCTACTTCCGACTCGCCCTGCCCCGCCCCGCCCCATTCTAGACTCATTTATCTCAATTTCTTACAATATCTATACATATTTCTCCTATTTTGACTTTTCTTCAACTAGTTAAAGTCGATCTTTCAACTTGTTAGACTCAATTATCCATTCTATTATCAATATTTTTCATTCTTAAAGTGTTTTTCCCTACGTTTTATTGTAAAAAGTAAAATTTACTTGTATTTTTTTTTAACATGTAAGAGTGGGTCGACCCGCCCCGCCCCGTACCCATGCGGGTTTTACCCGCCCCAACCCGTAGTAGCATGGGGCGGGACATGAGAATTGAGGTACCCGCCCCGCCCCATTGCCATCACTAATGTCATATGACATTCCGCACAGGATTGATCACGGGGATGATTATGATTTAAAACCGTGGTTCATTGGAAAATCGGCTCCACTAGAACCCATTGTCATCCTTAGTTGTGAAAGACTGAAGGTGAGTGTTCTTATAATACACTAATCTAACACAAAGGTGGATGGTTGGAGACGAGAAGTTTATTGTTCTGTAGGACTTGGAGTCTGTAGATCAATAAGTAGTAACTACAAATAAAGATTGAAATTTGTTGGTTATCAATCTATGATTTTGCTGTATCAAGCCTGAAGTTTTGGCTCCAACATACATTTGAGTTAGATTTGCCTACTTATCAAGTTATCATCATCATTTACTGCAGTAGTGAGAGAAGATAGAACCCATCTCAATGACATGGAAAAATAATACAATGTTACAAATACAACAGAGCCGCCATAATGGCTAGAGCTCAGTTACTACTTACTAGCTACTACTAAACTGCTCCGCAAGTTTCAATAAGCTACTGCAGTAGTGAGAGAAGATAGAACCCATCATCATTTACACGTTATGCACGTCCAAAGCTTAATCAAATGAATTAACAAGATAATGAAACAAAAACATCATTGTAAATGTGTAAGATAACGAAGGGTGAAGTTGAAATACAAGTGATATTCACGCCATAAACTACTTTATGTTGATTAATTGACATGTAAATCAATAAAATAAAGCAACGGCCAACGAGGCGCCAAACCCTAGATTTATAATTTACACAAATCCTTTGTTGCTTGACCCCAAGGTACAAGCTTCCAGCTCCATTATTAGTTTATGACCAATAATGGACACTATAAGACACTATTGTGACTAGGATTAATTTCCATTGTCCGAGGAACTCAATAATAATAAGCCAAGAAATTTGATATAATAACATTGAGTACATGAACATAAGCACCTGAACAGTTAAGAAAATAAGCACCTGAACAGTTTCCTTTGTGCTATAATGTATTCTAAAAGCATATGCAAAAACAAGGAGGTCCAGCATCTTCAAAATCTAAGCCACAGAGGGTGATGCAATATGGTTCTTGTTCACCTGAGTACTGATTCTCCTCTGTTTTTGCAATACATGTCGATCGAAAAAGACTTGTTCCGGAACTGAGCCTGGTGTCAGCTGCACTCCTTTCTTATAATGTAATCTACAGCCTCTTCTACAGTCTCCACAACCTACAAACAACGCGAAGCAGCAGCATTTCATCAACACAACCATACGTCCTCGCTTATATTGTAAAAGTCCAAACCAAATGATTTATCTGCTGTACAGTCCATAATCGAGCTTCAGGAAACTGTTAAATGTTATCCAGTGGTGATGTTCTGTTAAGATTAACTGCACATTTCGACTGATGGAAACAACCGTATATGAGTTCTGGTACCCCAGCTTTCATTAGGGAAAAAAAAAATTGTGGAGTAGACTACCCTATTACTATGCTGCACATAAGTAACCACGTACCTAGTCAGCTGGAAACTTGTCATGGTTTCCGGTTCCCTTGAAAACCCCAGTTCTAGTCAAAATTGAGAACCAAGGATATCCAGCCTGAAATCAATGTATATGATAGTCAAACAAAAGACTGATCAAAAGCGTTTTTCGAGGTCGAAACATTTGTTGGTTCACAAAAAGAAAAAAAATGCTCAAGGGTCAGGTCCTTGTTCGTGAAACAAACCTGCCGTGCGCCTTTGATGTCAACATCTGGATTATCTCCTACCATATATAGTCTTTCGAAATTATGCACTGCTGTACTTGCATTGTTAGGGGCTAGTCCACTGTCGGGGCAAGAAGAAACCAATTGCTTTAACACAGCTTCAGCATTCTTGAACACAAATGGATTTGGTTTCCCGTAACACGTATAACTAAGAGGATCATGATGAATTCTGCATGTTTCAAACCATATTACCCATGATCAGAATAGTAATTGTGACTGTTTCTTGTATAAAAACATAGTCAAACTGGGTTCTGCTACTCTATCTTAAAGATTCAGTTTCAGAACTTGCAGAATCCTCGTGGAAACCAGCAAGTTATGATCACCAGAAACAAAAACGAAACTGATTTTCCTAAGAGGAAGCTGGCATACTTTTTTATGCTTATCCCTCAAAATGGAAGCTAATTTCAGACTGACAAGCTTGGTTTTACCATAAATGTGTTTTACCTGTTGAAGATGGATTCTAGCGCAATTCTGAAAGCTCCCAAACCAAAACGTTCTGAAGGAAATGCAGCCTTCCTTTAGCGGCACCACGTTAGTTTATTTGGACATGTAAATGATACAGAACTGAAAATTGATACCTCAAGCCTGCAATAGTAACATTACTAACCTTGTAGGCAAGGTCATCATGAGCAAAATAAAGTTGTGGCTGGTGTCCAATCTCCATTCCCGGAAGACCTCCTGTTCTTAGAATGTCACAGAGAACCTAACAATTGAACCCATCATTAATCTTCAACAAGTAACATATTATGTAATTGCAATAAAATAGCAAAATAGTTTCTCATAGGCATATGAGATATAGACGAAGTAATGCACCTGAATGTCTCTGCTCCAATCAATTGAATCACTGACAACAAACACAGCCTGTACTCGTTGTGAACAGTTGTTTGTTGAGGTCTGGCTTCTGAAACACCGTTGTGTTTGGGAACCTGTTTAACTTCCCAACTCTTGTATGGTGCAAGTGGATCAATTCCAGGAAAACAGGATGCATACTCATCTATAGAGACAACATTTCTGCATAATAAACCATTGTGAACAAAAGTTTAGGGCACAGTAGATAGTGTTCCCAGAGATTTGAATTCAAAAATTGAATAAAATCAAACGGCTCTGGTCCTACTTGAATCCATATTCAGACATAACTGCAGCTGGCTCTCCTTTTCCAACTGCAACAACAAGTTCATTCTCAAGCCTGCAAGGTACACAATTGTTGCGGCTGAATATATCTGACAAGGCGAAACACACAATCATACACACTAGTTCCTCAGGTAGCTACCACTTAAATCAACTAATTTCTCATAGTAGATAAGGAATGCCAGTACAACAGCAGATGTGAATTGACCAACTTCTCTAACCTAATACTATCTTCCCCTCCATGGAATTCTAGCCAAGAAATCCCATGATTTGTGCTCCCTTTACTTCTTCCCCTCAATTGAACCATGTAGCAAGCAATTTAACACATTGTGGGGTGTGGTGAAATCAGAAAGAAAACGTGTAATGCTGCTCTGATTTGTTCTTGTTATATCAAACCACAAGTATTGTCTATCCATAATTCACTTAATTTCAGCCTATAAAGTATGGTCCTTGCTGAACTAGGAGCCAGGATCAGAATTATAAAAATATGTGTTCCCAACGAGAGTATTCACTCAGTCTGTAACTCATACCTCTGCACCAAATTCTTAAAGGGAGTATGACCCTGTAGTACCTGGAAAATCACAGAGATGTTACTTGTCACCAACACCATCGAAGCTCAATTGACAGTAAAGAACATGCAGTCAAGTGCATATCAACCACTAAGTACCTGTAATGGCGAAACATTAATGCCCAAAAGCGTGCTCAACTCCAATGCTCTTATAGACTCGCGAAAACCACCACCTACAACAGAAATAACCAACACACTTTTCGTTTATTCTTCAGCGAATGAGCCATAATCAAAGTGAGTGCAAGACTTCTTAGGAGCTCAAACGATTAGGGAAAGTAAAAAAAACTCATGCTCACCATTGGTCAGGAAAACGTAAGGGATCCATATGGCACCTGCCAACATACAAGAGGAGAAATCAACGTCTGCCATAAGCCGGCCTCATTGCGGAAGCGGGAAACATGACATTGTACGCTAACCAGAGTCTTCGTCGTAGAGGCGTTTGAGAGCTTGAGGGGAGCCGCCGATTGGCGATTCGCTGCGAAAAATGACGCCGTCGATATCGAACGCAATGCCAAAATTACGACGAGGGGGAGGCCTGCGCCTGCATTATCGAAAATCACTGAGAATTTTAGGCGGGTGATTTTGAAACCAGAGATTAGGGAACGGGAAGAAGAGAGAGATAGTGAGAAATCAGGGGGATCGGCAAGCGCACTTTTCCGTGGACTGGGAAGACAAATGCGCGAAGTATCGCGGGAGGACGAGCGGCGGCTGTGGCGGGGGTGAAATACTGCTCGCGGTGCGCCGCCGCACCGCTTTTGCGAGAGTTCGGTACTGAAACCGCATTGCTCTCCGATCACTGCTTCCTTGCGAACGTTCGGTTGAAGAAGCTTTGCACTGATTACTGAACTGACTTGGCCATTTACGAGCGTTTGGTTACTTGCCGGTCCGCTGCGCCATTTGCGAATTTTCACCATTTTTACACTAACGGACACTAAACATTGGAGGGATTAGCAAATTGGTCACTGAATCCTGATTCTTATCAAATTTGTCATAAAGTGTAGACTAAGACAATAGTCACTTCTTTAGACTAGTGATAGCAATGGGGCGGGGCGTGGCGAGTTGGTTACCTCAATATTCATGTCATGCCTCATATTGCTGTAGTCAGGGCGGGTCATACTCACATGGGTGTGAGGTGGGGTGGGTCAACCCATTGTAACATGTTATTTGAAAAAAGTTCACGCAAAATTTTACTTTTTACGATGAAACGAAGGAAAAAATACATAATGAATGAAAAATAGTGATAACAGAATGGGTAATTGAGTCTAACTAGTTGAAATATCAAGTCTAACTAATTGAAGAAAAGTCAAGATAGGATAAATATTTATAAATATTATAAGAAATTGAGATAGAAAGGGTCAAGAACGGGGCGGGGAGGGTCGGAAGTAAATGGCCATGTCCCGCCCACGCTATTGCATGTCGGGTAATGCCTCCCCCATCGCGGGGTCAAGTCGGGTGATACCTAGCGAGACAAATTCAAATTATGCCATCCCTACTTCAGACTTTTCACTGACTCATGATAGTTCAAGTTGGCGAGTTAGTTAATCAAAAACATATAAAATAAATAAAAACAGCATAGGCTCTCTAAATCTCATCTCTCTACCAATATGTTGTTGGTAACCTCTTTTTCTCACAATCTCATCTTTGTTGGTTAATTAACCAAAATCACACTTGTCTCACTAATGGTTGAATCAAACTTATGTTGTATTCAGAACCTAATATCAAAACAAAAGATTTGTTCAATACGGGTAGATAGAGGGCCACATCTACTTGGGAATGAAGTTGTGAGCTCAAACAGCAACATACATAGAGTCTGTGGAGCGAAAACCAGTTAGGATTCTACATTAGTGCATATAAGACTAGGACATTTGTCTTTTCCTAGATTGAAAACTATCCAAAAAACAGTGTAGGGATGTTTTGTTACCTTCCAATTCGCAACGTGAAATTTGTCAACTGTCTCAACAGAAACCATCCCCTTTCCCTCATAGTATGTCAGTAGTAAGTACTTGTGACTGTTTCTTGTATAAAAACATAGACAAACTGGGTTCTGCTACTCTATCTTTAAAATTCAGTTTCAGAACTTTCATAATCCTCGTGGAAACCAACAAGTTATGATCACCAGAAACAAAAACAAAATTGATTTTCCTAAGAGGAAGCTAGCATAATTTTTATTTTTTTTTATCCCTCAAAATGGAAGCTAATTTCATACTAACAAGATTGGTTTTACCATAAATGTGTTTCTTCTTCACTGAGTTTCGAATCTGGACTAGGAGCGAGAAAGACTACAACTAACTCCAATGTCATCGTTCCATCCGCAAATTAGCTATGTTCAGAAGGGAACTTGTCCCGCACACATTGAAGGAACAAGTAGCCAATAGAATTGATCATTTCCTAATGGTCGAGAGCAACCGGTTTTACTATTTCTCCTTTGCTTCTATTTTTTTTAACAAAGGAGAGTCTTTATTGCATTTTAATTTTTAACTGGTCAGTTACAAAGAGACAATAACTAGGGGTGGTAATCGGTCGGTTACTGGTTAACCGGTTACCAACCGACCCGGTTACGGTATACCGTTTACCATGAGGAAGAGGCCGAATACCGATACCGGTTTGTAACCAGTTAACCGGTTAGACCGAGTACTGATTTCCATCTCCGCCACCTCTCTATTTTCATTTTGGCGGAGGCAGGGTGGTTAGGCGCCGATGATGGTGACAATCGCTGCAAGTAGGGAGGGAGGAGGAGAAGACGGAGACGGACTGATGGTGGAAGATCTGGGTGGTGTTTGGTCTAGTCGGAGGGAGAAGAGAAGACGGAGAACTGGTGGTGGTCGATCTGCTCGCCGGGCAGAGTCAGCAAAATAGGAAAGGATCGAATTAATATATTAGGGATTCAGAAAGGGAACTTCTTTCTGGGGGAGATGAGAAAATTGGGGTTTGGGGGTTACTAACGGGGTGATAGAAGGAGAAGGTTGGGATTTGGGGAGGGAATATCGGTTATTCGGTATTACCGATAATCGTTGGGTTTTAACCGAGCATGGGTCTGTATACCGGCAGTTGGATTTTGGCCACCGTATACCGATACCGTCAGTTAACGATTCAGTAACCGGTTAAACCATTAACTAGATACCCGATTACCAGCCCTAACAATAACCAACATTCTGGTTCAACAGGAGGAAGGAAAAGGGAACTCGGTTACAATCAAACCACGAAAAGCAAAAGCAAGAACAGAGAACACAACACAGTTTGACAGCAACCATCCAACAGAACAGAATCCTTGAAAAAAAAACAGTACATCAGAAATCTCTCTTGCACCAACCACTTAGAATGCAACAAGAGCGAAATCAGCTTGTCCGATCAACTCGAAATCCATGGCTAGTGATTACATCAACCATATGCTGCCTCCTGGGGATAACTCAAAGGCATCCATCATAGTGAATCCTAGAAACAAGATTGCATGGCGGTGGATAAGTATTTGAACGGATTGCTCCAAGATGACAAAGGCAGAGGAAGCTGAGGCAGAGACATCATGTTTGAAGCAGAGCAGAAGATCCCAAGGGAGCCACAACTCTCCACGGAGAACACCGATTACAAACCACAACCACCGGAGAAGACCCGATCCTTCACGATCTGACGGCTCACCCCGCAAAATAAACACAAAGTGGAGGTCGGAAAGGGAAAGAAGAGAATGGCTTCACCAAAGTATGAAACCACCAACCTGGAAAAATCACCACCATCCAGATCTGGAATAGGCACCCACCAAATTGCTAACTCCGGATCCTGCAACGATCAAACCTTGAACAGGAGAACCAAGAACCGAAGGAAGAGACAAAGCTCGACGGGAAATAAAGAGACAAAGCTCGACTGGAAAGGAAGCTGAAAGGCCACAACAGTAGGGGAAAAGCTAGAAATCCGAAGGAAAAACATCTAGAACAAGGCCAGGAGAAGCATGAGCACAAAGAAAAGAAGAAAAAAAATGTAATGGAGGGGATTGAGCTGTCGTCAGTCACCAAAAGGAGCCGGCGGCATCTCCTGGAAAACAAAGAAGATGGAACCGAGAAAAAGAAGAGAGAGGGCATAGAAAGGAGTTCAAATTTGAAATTCCCTTTGCTTCTATTCATTGTACTCATTTTAGAAGCACGGTTGAGTTTGTTTGGACGATAGCAAGGTTGTCAACCCGCGGGTTGACCTACTTTGACCTTGACCTGGTGAGAAAAACGGGCAGCATGCACCCGTCTGGTCGACCGCTACAAGGTATCAGGTTGGAGTACAAATTGTGTCATTTTTTTCTTTGTTTGCGAAATGCGCCTATTTTCCGGTTTTTCTTTTCTTCTAACTCAATCTTTGGAATCCTTAGTTGAACATTTGAATATTGATGTTATATAAGTGTGTGTGAGTTTTCACTATTTGTTGGATCTAAGTACGACATGTTACTTTGGTGTAATGTTATATGTTATTACTCATATGTTAGATGAGATTTAATATAATTTATCAAAATAAGTACAATATAATGACTCTTTCCATATTTCCGGGCTAAAATGGGTGAACCGTTAACCCTTGACCCACTAGCTCGACAGGGTCTGGATCAACCCGCGGGTTGACAACCTTGGTTGATAGCTTAACTATATATGTTGTTTCAACCTCAAACCCTAAATGACTAAAACTTTGTTAGTTGAAGGAAGCATTTTCTCTTGCCATTCCATTTTCGGTTAGTTGTCTTGGCATGCCCCCTATATATTGGTGAGTGAAACCATGGTTCTCTTTTGGCTATTGTTATGGAAATTGTTCACGTATACTTGCAAAACAAGTCACATATAGAAATCAAAGTTACAAAAGGTTAAGAAGAAGAAATCATGAATCATGCATAAACACATCCGAGCCAATAGAATTCAATATTTCTCCTGAAGGAATTTAGTTCCCCGCTACGGTACCCAAGGTTAATGGAACTACTCCTCCCAGGATAGAACGGACGTACCTTTTCTGGCGTACCGGAACTTGATCCCAGAAAATGAAGGGGTGTGAGTAAGGGATGTGAGTTAGGTCTGTTAGTTTGTGCGATTTTGGTTAAACCGAACCGCAAAAGCGGTTAACCGCCACCGAGAACGGGCATAAACCCTCCACCGCAAAAGCTTGCGGTTAACTGCCACCGACACCGAAAATGGAGGAATTCAAGGCCTCTTTCCCATATATAATCAATATGGTATTTCAAGAGTTTCTCTTGGCTCCTTCCCTTTCCTTCTCATTCTCGCCATTCAAAATCCCAACAAGAAAAGTAGTTATGAAAGTGGGGAACCAATCTCACACCATAAGCTGTTGAGTTCATTTTTTCTTATCTATGTCCCTTTGTGATATGAATATGATATGGTCTCCTTTTCTTACTTTAACCATCAAGATATGATCTTCTTTCCTTATACATCCACATGATAGCAATAAACTAATTGAGAAAGTTAATCCAAAATTTCGATCTCTAATAAAGAGGTGGTTTTATTATTGTAGCAGATAAGAGATAGGAGCTTGGCGCACAAACAGATGAAGTTTTGATAGTTTGAGAAAGTTTAAAGCAAACAAATGCAAGTGATGAACATCGGTCTTTCACTTTGATTAAGGCTTTAACACACTAACATGGAGCTATAAATCATGGTTGTCATGCCATACACATATATTTGCCAACTCAATTTATACTTATATCCCCGCACACTATAAATACAGTATGCCTATATAGATCTCTTCATATCACATGCTGCTCACTGCTCCTTAGGGTATGGTTTAGCTTCTGTTGTCATGGTCACATATTTATAAATTAAGAGCAAGTCCCAGAATTAGACAAAGTAACTTGATCATACAAAATCAATACATTAGGGGATTGGAAAGCAAG